GTCAACACCTTTTAATCCTTGAAAGCAATAAAATTGCATTTCTTTTTTGTCCAACTAAAACTCTGATCTTGCTAATTGAAAACTAGTCCATTATCAATACAATTTAATTCTATTTATAGAACTTAATAAATGTTAGTACAAATGTATATGAAAAATTGGAATCTTCTGGATGATCAAGAATTTCTAACCTAAACAGTAGCTATATATGGTTAAAAATTATATAAGTCAGCCGGGCTCGGTGACTCAGCCTGTAATCCTGTGCCTTTGGGAGGCTGAGGTGAGTGGATTGACTGAGCCCACGGGTTCGAGACCCGTCTGGGCAGCGAGATCTCGTCTCTACAATAAATAAAAAAAAAAAAATTAGCCCGGCGTGGTAGCGCGTGCCTGTAGTTCCAGCTACTCAGAAGGCTGAGGCGGAAGGATCGCCGAAGCCCAGCAGGTGGAGGCTGCCGTGGCCGGGAGCGGCCACTGCACTCCAGTCTGGGCGACAGAGTGAGACTCCAACTTAAAAAAAAAAAAAAAAAAGAATATATATATATAAGTCTACTCCAGCCCTTCTGACAACAAGCATTTACAAGCTTAAGGTTATCTGAATATAGATCTAGTATGAGTGAATGCCTTGGTATGTATGAAGGGAACAGTATACTAGCGATTTGAGAACTAGCAATAAAGAGACACTTTTAAAAAAAATTATTTTAAACATGAGGGGTACAATTCAGGGTTACGTATACAAATGTTCAAAGAGACAGTTTTTTACTTGCAGGTTGTGGAAAGCAGTGGGCCAAAGGTTTTGGAAACAGCAGAAGAGATCCAGGAGAGGCGTCAGGAGGTGTTGAGTCGGTATCAGAGGTTCAAGGAGCTGGTTGCTGAGAGGGGTCAGAAGCTTGAGGAGTCCTATCACTACCAGGTTTTCAGGCGAGATGCCGATGACCTGGAGAAGTGGATTTTGGAGAAACTCAAAATTGCAGGCGATAAGAGCTACGAAGACCCAACTAATATACAGGTCACTCAGTTCTGTTGACTGCCCCAGAGCATACCCTAAGATCTCTAGCAGGGGGAAACAGGTTTTTTTTTTTCATGGTAATTTTAAAGGGTGGGTGTGGGCACAATCGGATACCATTGAAAAACAAAGCAAACAGAATAAAAGTAAGCCAGTGCGACAGAGATTTAAAAAATTGTTAGCAGAAACTCTAAAGGTACATTTTGCCTTGTGAAGTTGTAGGCTTGAGACTCAGAAAACAAAAAACCAACAAAAAGTGACAGCTTGTCAGTAATTGAAAGCACAGAACTGTTTCTTATAATGAACTTGCATTCAGAACATACATTACTTTTTTCATTGACCAAGGATATTGTTCATTGATAAGGGCATAGGATACTTAACATATTTTCATAGTCAAGCACCCATCAATGCCAAGAAAAAAAAATGGCATTTTTTTTTCAGATCCCAAACCTGTATTTGTATAATGCAAGTGCATATCTGGTTAACTGTAGATAGGTGATTGATGTAATAGAAAAATTAGACTATATATTACGGACAGTAATTCCATCTCTAAATAGCTATGTCTACAACTTGTTAAACTTCAGTATCTTCTTTGCAAAGAAAACTCACTCTAGACTATTTGATGGAAGTAATATTCATCTGAAGTTAAGCTACCAGCAAAACAGTATCTGAAATTTTAAGAATTTTCTGACAAACCATCAAGAATGGAATTAGAGGGAAGAGTCATCAATGCTTCTGAAGCAACAAAGCAACTTTTCTTCACTCTTCTCAGAAAAACAAGAATTAACTAGGGTTTTCCTAGGGTTTTCCCAGCTATTGATGGCTCTTGTTAAGTGAAAATGAGAGGTTTCAGTAGAAGGTTGGTGGAAGCTCTTTCTCTTCACCTAGAATTATAGCATGTGGCATAGTCATGATCAGGAGAAAGGGCTACACATGCCTAAAAGAGGTGGTTGATGTTGACAGGAAGCACCTAGAACAAGGGCAACATAATGTACTATTTGAAATGGATCGATTCATGTCTGACAACGAGAATGAAGCCAGCATGCAAATATAAACCCTCTCAATTAAAAAAAACAAAACATTATTATAACGATCATCTTTCCCCTTATCTCTACTTTCAGTGGAACTCTGCTATTCCTCTTTTCTGAAGAGGAAGAACACTATATATTACACTCTTTTATTCACAAAAGTGTTTATTGAACCTTTAAAATAGTAGGGATTTGCTAAAAATTCCCTAAGGCAATAGGTACAGGAAAAGGCTTTCTATGACTTCTGATTTTGAGCCTGGGACCCTTTGAGAACCTGTATTCAGTGACAACTTAGAATGAGCATTTCCCACAGAAACTGCTTCATCAGCCATACACTCTGATTTCTAAACTTCAGGGGAAATATCAGAAGCATGAATCCTTTGAAGCAGAGGTGCAGGCAAAATCAAGAGTCATTCCTGAATTGGAAGAAATCAGAAAAGTTCGATTTGCTGAAGGTCACTTTGCCCATGAGGACACCAAGGTAAATGTGTGGTAGGGCTCTCAAACAAGTTTCTAATTGTTGATTATGTTATCGGGGTTTTAACTAATTTATGCCAATATAAACCTTGATATTGCTAGCTTGGAACCAGGGCTCCTGCTTCTTGCTTGCTACTCAAGTGGAGGCAGAAAAAATGACGGAATATCCTTCCTTTCCTTGGAGTGAAGAGAAGAACTGTGATACCAAAGCTGTCATTCAATGGCATAACATCCCTCCTTATACTATTGCAGGATCATTTGCCTCAAAATCAAACCCACTTAACCCTGTTGTACATTTCTCACATCAATTGACTTTTTCAAATGTTCTTTCTAATTGACTAATTTGACCTCTGTGACAACTCTTGTGCCTGCTTAAACTTTTCCTCCCTGTTACTTCAAAAAACACCTAAAATTACATGTGTCAGAAAATCTTCCCTGAACAACTAGAACTGAAAATGACCACCACTTTAGTAAGCATTTACCAGTCTGTAACCTTTTGTAACAGCTATTTCTAATGTACCAGTTATTTCTAATGTAACAGCTATTTCTTCCAGGTTTTGCTTCTGGAATTTTTAATTCAATTTAATTTAATTAAATTTAATATTTAATTCAATTTAATTTAATCCAATTTAATTCTTTTATTCTAAAGTTATGGGGTACAATTCTGGGTTAGGTATACAAATGTTCATTATGCATATACCTTTGTTGATAAGGTATGGCCCCCCTCCCCTGGCAGATTCCCACTACTGCCAATACCACCCCTGCCCTCCCCTAGCAGTTTCCGGCTACTACCAATCTTTTTCTTATAGTATTACAATAATTGTTCAAGGTCCACTTAAAAGTA